GATAAAACAAACAAGAGCACAAATTCTAAGAGCGTCTACCTAGTATAATAGTTAATCCAGACCAAATCTATTTTAATTCATACATTAGGCCAATTTAGGGCAGTTGTATCTTTTCTTCATACAAAAATCTGGGGTTACTTTGGGTTTGGGTGCTTAATTTGTGCAATTGGGCTTTTCTGGGCCTTGTGTCTTCACACTGTTGGCTGATTGGTTTCACGTAATTATGCTTTTGATCGAGGTAACAACGATCTATAAGTGCAATAGGACACTAACAAATAGCGATACCTCCCACTTGATAAATGAGTCCATGTTTCAGTATAATAACTTTTTTTTTTTGGGTCAAACTATTAGGGCTCCATTACAAGGGCCAGACAATAAAATCCATTCAATTGACCCGATTTGTGATCCGCCCAATTTAGAATGAGAAAACATACTTCGTATAACCGATCAGGTTTATGATTTTATGTAGGAGGTCCAGATTTTTCAAATCGTATTCCTATCATCTTATATAATTTTGGATACCTTCGAGTTTTTAATTGTAAAGTAAATAATTTTTATTTTAGTAAAACCTCATTCAAATTTTTGAATACTAACTTTAAATACTTCATACATTATATTTAGAGTTTTTCGTAAAGAAATCCGTGTTTTCTAGATTGAAATAATATTTTTATCTTATCTTAACAATTTTCAAATATTTGAACTTTCTAATCAAACCGAATCTCCGGCTTGACCAACCCGGTCATTTGTATTACCTATTTACCTCTATTGAAAAACAACTTATTTTTAATTTTTTGTTATTGAGTAGAATGCAATGGAATGAAAAGCTAATTACATTTAAGTAATGTTCAGTTGATTATTATTTGCTATAATAAATATTTTAAGTCTCACAAATAATACATCTTTGTTGTAAGAAATATGAAACGATACATTTATTATCCTATTAGCATGAACTAATAGTTATGTAATATGCGTTAATAGACCTTAATTATTAGCACTTGTTAACTTATCTTATATTATCATAATTGATCAACTTTTATATATCTTTGATTCTTTTCTAAACTTCCCTATATTTATATACCTGAAATATTTGAATATAAGGTGAGGAGAACAAAGTCTTACTCCCTAATGTTTAGTTTTGCTTATTACACGTCAAATTGACAATCTTTTGATTAAAAAATTATTCAATCTTAATTCTATAAAAAAAAAAAAAAAAAAAATGAGTAGGCATTCAAATAATTAGGACTACCGAGTATAAAACCTCTAAATACCAAGCTAATTACTTTAGCTAATCAGTGTTACATTGATATTCCTTGTCACAAGCTAAGATCTATCTAAGTGCATGATGACACAAGCTAAGCTATAATGAATGCATAATCCATCTTAGTTAAACAATACTACTTAGACCTAAAAAAAAGTACACTTTGTCTTTGTTATGCTAATAATCATAATTATTAATTAGTTAAAGTATTAAACATAAAGTTTAGTGGTCTTAAATTCCAAAAGGAAGGCCTTATATTGGAGATCACTAAAGAAGATAATGGTGGAGATCCAAGATATGGTGTTAAACCCTAGACAATGGCAAAGCATGCTGTGGTGTTTGACAAAGACACTTCACTGTATATTCCTTCGAGAAAAAAGAATATGGTAGGCTCTTTTTTTACCAACGCACGAGCATTTTTCTATTACTACATTAATCAAAAGCCAAATAATGTGGGAAATCTGTAATAATTTCTTGTTCTTTTATTAGTTTACCTTTTACATTATTCACATTATTTATTACTATCATTATCGTTGATTTATCTCGATACAACTTTCAAAAATTCCAACAATTTATATATGTGAGAATTCATACTTATATGAGAATTAATTTAAAATTTAGAACATGTGAGTTAAATTTTAGAACATGCGAGCTAAAATTTAGAACATGTGACTTAAATTAAAATTTTGAACATATGAGTAATAATTTAGAACATTTATGTGAGTAATATGTTTAAGAATTAACAAGTGATTAAAAATTTATAAAATTTGCTTTATGAAATTTTAAACATATGAGTAAAACTTAGACATCTGATTTGAGATTATGAACATCTGAATAAAAATTTAGAACAAACTGATATAGAATATAGAAAGTGTGAGTAAAGAATTTAGAACATACGAGTAAAAAAATAGAACATACGCTTTAAAATCTGGAAGATATAATTGAAAATCTTAAAACACACGTTTTAAAATTTTGAACATATAAGTTAAAATTTTGGAACAAGTTATTTAAAATTTATGACATCAAACTTAACTAATTTATGATTAGAACATGTGTGTATTAAATTAGAATATTTGATTTAATTTAGAACACTTAAGGAAAAGTTTAGAACATCAGATATAAAATTTAGAACATACGAGTAAAAATTTAGAATATAAAGAGTTTAAGAAAATTTAGAACTAAATTATAATAGATTATAGATGATTTACCTAGTTGGATTAAACATGTCAAATCAAAATGAAACAATAAATAAAACAAGTAGAGAGTATAAACAAAGAAGTATACACAAAAGGAGTAAAAGACATTTTACTTTCCCTTTTTATTCCTTTGCTTTTTCTTACTTTGCTATCAACTTTATCTAGTGTACACAAACAATTACATGACATCTACATCCTCTTTTGCCTCTCCATCTATCTCAGTAGACACCTTTTTGTATGATTGTATTTGTACACTCTGCAAATTCTCGTCTTTTTTCAGAGTTATGTATGGTGGAAGAATTGTACTGAAAGGAACCATTTTTGACAGATTTTCTACAGTTATGCATGAAGTTTGCTGTATAGTGTATACGTACGAAGTGTTTTTTGGATTTTTCTTACATTACTTGGCCCTACAAATTCATTATAAAAATTGCATTTGTACCTTGGAGTTCAAAAAAAAAAAAAAAAAAACAAAAAAAAAAAAAAAACATAAATTTTTTTTAAAAAAAATAAATAAATAGGTCGGGTCATAAAGTCAATGTGTCTTTAAATTCATAATAATCAACTAATGATTTTATTTTCTACGATAAATTTAGATGAGTTAATTGTGTTATTGAAGGTTAAGTTGTCTAGCTCAATCACTACATACAATTGCATAGGATAAAATATTCCATTACTTATTTTTAAGATTTTAAAAGTTAAAGGTGTGCATAAGATGTTGATATGTAGTAGTACTATATAAAACGCAAATGTGACTAATTTTAAGGGAGGAAATACTACGCATACGAAAGTAATAAGAATACAAATTCATAGGGGCATTTATTATGCTTTCCATCATTTCGATCAGCTAGGTAGTGAGCTTCATAAGTTGAACAACCATACAGTATTTATCTAGATTTAATACTGCTACTAATTAAGTTTAAGTCGTTAATGATGACGGACGGCTAATTAAAGAAAACTGATACAGTATTATCAATGATAATGCATCTGACTAACTGACTTTAGTCTATCTTAATATTGTAATGTTTTAATTAATTAATCAAATACGTAATTTTAGTGGCGACCCAGATAGAGTTGCATGTTTCAATTAGGTGATTTGACCAAAAGAAAGATTATAAAGTTAATATTGGTGAAACTCTTGGGACAAAGTGTCTTAGTTTGGAATTTAGGGCATGTTCTCATTATTGAATGAACTCAGCTGAATTGCGCTGAACTGAACTGAATTGAACTCAGCTGAACTGAACTGAACCAAAATAAATATTTTATAAGAGAAGGAAATTAGGAGCTGAACTGAACTGAACTGAACTGAAAATAAACGTATGAGAATAGGCCCTTACTCTGATCCTTGGATGTTTCTACTATAGTCATCCTTAAAATGACTACCATTATAGTTAATTTTCATTGGATGATTTTGATTATTTTTTTTGTTGGTAAATCTTATTTAAAATGATTTTATTTTTTTAAAAGATCAATTTTTCAGAATTTAATCAAAAAAGATTCTTGAAAATTTAGAAAAATAAAAATAAGAAAATTCATTTTTTATAAGTTTGCCCATCAAATGACAAATCAAAATTTCAATGAAAATCAAATATTGGCATTTAAAAGATGACTACGATAGAATTTTCACGTTCTTACTATTCTTAATGTTGTGAATAGGTGGCTAAAGATCCTAATCCGTTATTAGTCTTAAAAAGAGAAAACTGCTCATTGATTTGAAAAATACAAGATGTGAAAATTTTGAATTATAATTTAAACACAAACCTCAAGAAAATTGATTACAAAGAAAGAGCAATAAGTTTTGATAAGGACAATATGTTTCATGTAAAAATTTCATAAAAGTCTAGCTAGAGTCTTGCAACTTTTATGTTGTGACATACATACCCTCATTGCAAGACAAGGATAGACTCACATGTGAAGGCCGCAAGTTTAATAAATAAACTCACAAATGAGTTCATTGGCATAAATATATTCTAGGAGTATTATGGAGTACACAATAGAGAATCTATCGATTAACTCATATAACGTACTACATAGCACATCGGTGTTTGTATTGTCTTCGATTCATCTACCAAAGTGTAGCCTAATTTATTTAGTGGCTTTGTGTAGGTCTAATAAGTAGTATTAGAGCCTATATTTCATTCTGAATAAATGCAAAAGTACCGAGCTCCATAGAGTGAGTTGGCCTAATGCTATAGCACATGGATTTTGACCATATACATAAGCATGCTCCATTTGCAAGCAAGGAGACTCAAGAACATATTCATGTTGGTTCCAAGCACACACGAATCGAAGGCGAGGGCAAAGGCATATTACATTCAATGTGGTTAAGTATGCATGCTTATAATCTTAAAGAAGAGTGTGATTTATAGACATTAATACACAATTACTATAATCAAAGTCTCAATAACAAATATATTTCTTGTAATTAAGTTATTTTTATTAGAACTCATGATTTGTGTTGATTATAGAAGGATGATTTAAAGGAAGTGTAGGGAAAAGGTTACAGTCTTGCACACATGCATGCATGATGCTTTTAATTGCTACTTTTACGATTACATAATGTCAAGTACAAGATGGAAGCTAACCAAGTATACTCATCATTACTTCCCAAAACTTTGAATTCCTTTTCAACGGTTAAAAGCATTCCCTAAATTTAAATAAAAAAACCAAAATAAATATCATTTTATAAAGTTGTTAATCAATTATCATCACCATTTTGATCAAAAGTGAGTCAAAGGGAGGATTTTGATCAAATCTCAGTCCGACAAATTCAATTGAGGGCTTTTCCAAACATCTGTCCCCTTTCAACCGTTGTATATTTTGCATTCAAACTACACACACAAAAAAAAAGAAATTAAAAAATAAAAGATAAGGCCAAATTTTTATAATTATCTTTCAATTTATTGCCCTATTTGTTGATCTATATTCTTTCTATTTAAAGTTCTTAATCACTCACTCTTTGCTTCACTCTTTCCTCTCAACAAGTGTTATCATACATACAAAGTCGTACCTCTCTCTCTTAAATTATGCAAAAGTTTCTCTCAAGTTCTTTGGTGCTAATACTAGCTTACAAGGTAATTGAATATCATAAGCAAGTAGACTAAGCTTCCAATTTTACACTATTTGCTATAGTATCTTAGATGTGATGCATGTTTTGTGTTGTTAGTTTAAGGTTATTAGGTTTGTCTATTTCATTGTTTATATATTGCACAATAATGCATATGAAGCCTCGGTAAGAAATTGTCTTCAATTAAAATGAGTTGTCACATCTATAGTGTATTTTTAACTAATAAATTGTATGTAACAACTATCTCTTTAGAGAATAGTATTTTGCGTATATAGTCGGTAGATAGAAAATTGCTTGTGCATGTTTTCTGATGCTCAAATTTTGTTGTATGTGTCGTGTCTTTTTGTGATCTGCATAAAAGTCTATTGATGTTCTTAAATTTTATAGATTTACACGTCGCACTATACATTATAATTACCTTCTATGGTCAATTTGCAAGTTAATTACATATACATTTAATTCTGATTAGAAATCACTTAAGTATACTCATTTCTAGCATTAAATTTTAGTATCAATAATATAAGTAACCGCGTTTTACTTATAAATAAAGTGAAAAACTGCAACATTATTGTATGTTTAAAATGAAATATATGTGACTATATAAGAGAAATTATACGTTCTAAAAATTAGTAGTTCATATGTGTTATTTCAATTAAACACACCCTATATTTTCTCATGAAAAGATTACAATAATACTACCACCCCTTTTTTCTTGATAATTCAATCTAGTCAAATTTGGCTCATTCATTCCCGCCATTACCTTGGGATGAGAAAAGGCCCATAAATCCCACTATCAAAAGAACAATAACAAAACAAAACAAAAATAAAGACATACCCCTTTAACTCAAAACTAGTGCATGTATAGCTAATGTATGAAGAACTTAAACATTAGTATAAACTCATTATTTCATAACCTTTTACTTTTGTGTTTTATACCAAACTTTATGTCTGATTTTATAATTTTATGTGCTTTTGATCAGATCCAAGGCATAAAAAGGATGATCACACTAATCACTTCACTCAACTAAATCATCTCCTCTGTTTCCTCTGACTCTAAATCCTCACTTATTCTCTCCAAAAAGTCCAAAAAGATGAGAAAATCATCAGAAATCACCAAAATTCTCTTCTTCTTTATGTTCATTGCATTTGATTTCTCCAAAGGCAATGAAATGGACCATCTTTTATCCTTCAAAGCTTCAATAAAAGACCCAACTCGATCGCTTTCGAGTTGGGATCATTCATCCTCACCCTGCAATTGGAGTGGCATTACATGTTCACCCAACAACGCCCATGTCATTACCATAAACTTGTCTAGCAAGAACATCTCCGGCGAGCTTTCGCCTTCGTTGTTTCGCCTTCCCTTTGTTGTTACCATTGATCTTTCAGTAAACCAACTTCATGGGAATATCCCTGAAGGTGTGTTTTCATGCTTATCACTCATTAGCCTGAACATGAGCAACAACAATCTCACGGGCCGTGTGCCTAGTCCCCTGCAACAAGTGACACGATTCGAGACCTTGGACTTCTCCAACAATATGATCTCAGGCAAAATACCGGAAAACATTGGTTTGTTGAGTAATATGAGGTACCTTGATCTTGGAGGGAATGCACTTGTAGGAGAAATCCCGAAATCGATTTCGAATATGACCAAGATTGAGTACATAACGTTGGCTTCTAACCAACTTTCAGGTGAAATTCCAAACGACTTTGGGAATTTGAAGAATTTAAAATGGATTTACTTGGGTTACAACAATTTATCAGGAAATATCCCAAGTAATTTGGGTATGTTAACCTCTTTATATCATCTTGATCTTGTTTATAACAAGCTTAGTGGATCAATACCCTTTTCATTTGGCAACCTTACAAATCTTCAACACCTTTTTTTGTATCAAAACAAATTAAGTGGTGAAATTCCTCCTTCAATTTTCACTATAAAAAGTCTTGTTTCACTAGACTTGAGTGATAATTTTCTCTCAGGAGAAATTCCTGATGAACTTGTCCATTTACAAAATCTTCAAGTTCTTCATCTCTTCACCAATAATTTGACAGGAAAAATCCCGAATTCGATTTCGTTATTGCCAAATCTTCAAGTTCTTCAACTATGGTGTAACAAGTTTCATGGTGACATACCACAAGACCTAGGAAAAATGAACAATCTCACAATTCTAGACCTTTCTACAAATTTTCTTGCAGGAAAAATTCCTGATTCCCTTTGTAAATCCGGAAATCTTTATAAACTTATCCTCTTTTCCAATTCCCTTTCCGGAGGGATCCCTTCAAGCTTAGGATCGTGTCGTTCGCTTAAGCGAATTCGCCTTCAAAACAACTCCCTTTCCGGGGGGTTGCCTAGGGGGTTTACAAGGCTTGAAAATGTTTATTTCTTGGATATTTCGAGTAATGATCTTTCGGGGAATATTGATCAACATAAATGGGATATGCCAATGCTTCAAATGTTGAATTTGGCTAATAATAGGTTTGTTGGAGAGTTGCCTGATATGTCAAGTAGTGTTAAGCTTGAGAATTTGGATTTGTCGGAGAATGTTTTTTCGAGTAGTATACCTCCAAGCTATGGCAAGCTTGCCGAGTTGATGTTGTTGAGGCTAGCTAGGAACCGGATTAGTGGCGAAATCCCGGAGGAGTTAGCATCATGCAAGAAGATGGTGACACTTGACCTTAGCCATAATAGGCTAACTGGCTCAATCCCTCTAGGGTTGGGCCAGATGCCGGTGTTAGGGCAGTTGGACTTATCGGAGAACCAACTCTCTGGTGAGATACCGAGGAATTTAGGGGTTGTGGACTCGTTGGTTGAGGTTAATGTATCTTATAACCACCTTCGCGGTGTGCTGCCCTCCACCGGAGCATTCCTGGCCATTAACTCGAGTGCAGTGGCCGGGAATTACCTATGTGGTGGGCTACACTCTACAAGTGGTTTGCCACTTTGCGGAGGGGATCAGAAAGGCCCCACCACGACTGTATGGTGGGGCCTGGCTATATCCCTTGGTGTGATCATATTTGTTGTGATTATTATTTTGTGTGTGTTCATTATAATCAAGAAAAGGAGGGAAAGATTGTTGCAAGTCCAAAGGGTGGAAATGAAAGATGGAATTTGGGAGATACAATTCTTTGATCCTAAGGCATCTAAGCTTATATCAATCCAAGATATAATTACCAAGAAAAATGATAAGAAAATGCAATTTGTGGTGGAAGAATGGAGTGTTAATAGTTTGTGGGAGGATATTTCACAATTTGGGAAAATTAGGCATCCAAATATTGTGAAGCTACTTGGGGTTTGCAAGTCCGAAAAAATAGGGTTTTTGATTTATGAGAAGGTGGAAGGGAAGTGTTTGAGTGAAGTTATACATGGTTTGAGTTGGGAACGTCGAAGAAGGATTGCTCTCGGGGTTGCTAGGGCTCTTAAGTACCTTCACTATCATTGCTCGCCGAGTGTTTTGGTTGGTGAAATGTCGCCGGAGAGAATCATTGTCGACGGAAAGGATGAGGCTCGCCTGAGATTAAGTGTTGGTGGGTTGTTTTGCTTAGGGCCTAAAAGCTTCATGTCTTCTGCCTATGTTGCACCAGGTAATTAATCAGTATATTACATTTTTTCAATACATGGTTTTGATTGCATGATTATATTTCTACTATATATTCTTAAAGACGTTACTCCCTGTATCTCAAAATAATTGCAACATAATCTACATCTAATACACATAAGGGTAAAAAAATAAAAATATTATATGTGTTAGCTTAAATGTGTTTTAGAACATTAACTTGTTATAAGTTTATCAATACACATGATTTTAAAATATTAAAAACTAGTTATTGGTCCAATATGTATCATGGAGACATGGTTGCAGTTATATTATCCTTGTTAAACAGCATTTAATTACTTATCGATGTTGAAATCAGCTATCCATGAAATAATTAATTAGATAATATAATAAACTTGGATTAAAGTATTGGAATAATTAAGTCACAGAACATTTACTGGAATATGTCAGTAATGTCTCTTATTTATAAAACATACTGTAACCTAAGTATATTCAATTATTAAGTACAATTGTTATTGTAGTTAATTTTGTTTAAGCTAAAACAGGAACATAGACTGGTTATAATATAATTTTTCAGTGCTGTGAGCCTGTGAGAGTACTTTTATATTATGGGACTGTTAATATATATATACCTGATAATGATCATATATAGACAATATTATAGACTTAATAATGCATAATCATCATTTTTGAAACCTTTCACTCCTTTAATGATATCCCAACACCTAATTTTGTACCATCTTCAAGATGATTTATTTCTCTAGTAGAACATTAAAATGTCTTATTCGATATAATGTTAACTCAGATCATACTCATCTCATTTTTTTTTACGCGGTTTCTTTATAGGTTTTTTTTTAATTTCATAAATAACAGATAGGAATCGATGAAATTTATATTGTCGTAATTAGTATTAACTTAAGGAAATAATAATCACGAGTCCAAGGGATGATTAGTTCATGTGACCTACACCAAAAAAATGTTTCAGAAAGAACACACAACAAAGTAAAATGAGGATCATATAATTGAAACTTTTATGAATGCAAACAATTCTGCATGAATATGCAACATGTTTACACGATTTAAGGGTGTAACACAGTTTCCCAAAATTAATATGACCCCATCTCTAAAGTTAAAGATAAATTATAACAGCTCACAACATCATTTCATGGTACTTTCATATTTAACTTTGATGTCATTTTACAATTATTCACCGATCCACCAATTACATGTAATATGGACTACTTAATTAACATGGCATATTCTTGCATTTTGAACATTCCTTTATTCTTTATAATATCTAAATTAATGGCATTATAATTAGTCTGGTAAAGTAACAACATAATTACATGGTTATGTATTCTTTTTTTTGTGTATTAAGCTTAATTAACTTAGAGGGTTGATAAATAATTATGTGTGAATATATATACTATATGGCAGAAACAAAAGAGGCTAAGGAGATCACAGACAAGAATGACATGTATGGATTTGGTCTAATTCTTGTTGAGCTACTAACTGGAAAGGGGCCCACGGACGCGGAGTTGGGGGCCCACGATGGTATCATCGGGTGGGCCCGGTATTGCTATTCGGATTGTCATCTTGACACGTGGATCGATCCTGAGATTCGAGATCAAAGGTTGAATAATCCAAATGAGATTGTGGAGACTATGAACTTGGCACTCCAATGCACTGCTAGTGACCCAACTGCAAGGCCTTGTTCAAGTGATGTGGTTAAAGCATTAGAGTCAATTATGAAGTCTAGAAGGTGTGTTTTAGGGTTTGAGATGTCTAGGTAATTAGTTTTGGGATTTGTATTTTATGTTAAATTTTTGGCCCATAAAAAATCATGGCTTTTGTTGAGGTTTTATTTCATCTCCTAAGCTTGTTTTGCCTAAGTAAGGGCTTAGTATAGGGTTGCTATATATATTTTGGGTGATGTAATTTGTGATGACTAATTACTAAGTGTAGAATATAGGTAGATAATTGATTGAATTGTATTTTACAAACATAGTTGATTAATGTATTAAGAATCTCAATTTCTATATTATGGAGCAGTGCAACTAATACAATTATTGTAATAGCTTAAATTATCTTGGTATTTACTTCAAACTATGTGCAATCCACAATTCTTACACGTATTGATATAAAATAAAAGTGTATCAACAATGCACCACAAAACATCTAGTGCTCTAAAATAGAAAATATAATGTATGTGGACGCATCAACGGAAGCACCATTCTTGATACTTTCGAGTGCATGAAATAACACAAAGTGTAATTTGGAATAAAAATACTATTTTTGAGCAGACGGGGAATCTTATGACTTCTAATCACAATATATGATAGTAAAACACATTTTCATTCTAATTGGTCAAGAAGGTATATATATATATATATATATATATCTTTTATGCATGTATAGCTATATGAAACTAATGAAAATGTCGCTGACCTCTTTCATCATGAGTGGATACATTGACAATTAAACGACAAACTCAACCACTTAAGTTTAGCTTTTGTTGATTTTACAAAAAGCCTTGATTGATTAAGCACCTTAATTTACCTTTCCCAATTACCATGAGATAAAAACAAGTGGAAAAAACAAATTTAGTGTATAAATTTCAACTCATATTATCATAGCTTACAAGGGTGAAAAATGTTTATGCTTGTTATTTACTCAAATAGACAAGCTACAACATAATTGAAATATAAATATGTAGTCCAAAGCGACAATTGACTTATAGGGCAGGGGATATATGAAAATTACAGTTTACCCAGCCCTTTAATTGATAGTGAATTCCCTCTATTATTTTAGGGTAAAAGGATTTGTTTCCAAATTGTTGCATAATGTTCAGTGATATATGGTCTTAGTTCAAAATTATTCCTTTGCAAAAAAAAAAAAAAAATGAATAAAATGGTCTTAATTATTCACAATAACTCAATAATTTAAAGTAGAATAATAAAACTAAGAAAAAAAGAAAAGCTAGCACGGGTCACAAACATTAAAATAAGTCAGTATGATAAGAAACCCCCTTAAAACCTAGCTAAAAAGTAAAAATATTGGTCATGGGTCTACTTTTGATGTAGTACGTGAATGATAGAGAACGTAAGAGCAAATGTAATATATTTGCTATAAATCATTTAATCTCATCATAAATTACCTAAATGCTTCTACGTGTATATAATACTCAATTATATTGCTTCAACATGGTCCCTAGTCTTTAAATTTGTGAAATAATCTACTTCCGTTAACAGCGTTACGTATCATGTGACACTATGATAATCACAACCTTTAAAATCGAGAAAATTGTCAACACGAAATATACAAAGCATGAATAAAGCCCATAAGCACAAAGAGAAAGAATTGATCGAATGGTACTCAGGGTTTGTTTTGATTTACTGAATTGAGCTGAACTGAACTGAAGTGATTGAAGTTGAACTGAACTTAACTAAACTGGGAGAAGAAAATTAGGAACTAAACTGAACTAAAATTAAGCTGAAAAGAACCTATATACCCTTACTCAACAAATTAAATCTACCAAGTGAACTATAAAAATTTCGAAATGCACTCAAAATAGAGTTCCAAACTCATGCAAGTTACGTTAGTTTTTAGTCACGAATCCACTAAAAGACCGAATTGAAGTTGCATACAGTGAATTAATGGTAATGGTGGGTACTACGTGTGACAATAATATTAGCTTTTATCATAAAATATAGTTTGATAAAATTATTCTTTCCGTTTTCTCCCAATCATGTACTGTAAAGTGGGCAAGTCAAAAATTGCAAACTCGTGTTCCTCTTTCAACTCTTAAACAACAATAGCTTTTTGCAAATATGAAAATTATAAAGGGTTTATTCATTATGAATGTGCCTCACTTTTATCTACCCTTTTTGGATCTATGACTATATTCCCTCTACTCTTTGTTATTAGTAACTACTTCTAAATTCCCTTTTTATTTTTGGGTGATTTTCCCGCTTTCAATTCTTCTCACCAGCCTACTTTCAATTAATTTGTTAATTATGACACTCATAAATTATAGTCAATTTTTCAATTAATTTGTTAATTATATATGACACTTATAATTTAGGGTTATCGCTGCTCCTAGCAGCCCTTGGGCACCCAATACCCATTAGGCCACGATGAGCCTCGCTGCCTAGTGAGTAGTGACCCATGCATTGCATCCGACGGTATGGGAGATGACCCGCGACAGTTAGCTCAAGTCTTGTACTTCTAGAAATTAATATCATTTTAATCAATGTGTAACTGTGAAATGAATTGTCAAGATCCATAGGAAATTTAATTTGACGTAGGTGTCAAGTACATATTTGATGCTATGCCCTTATAACTCCAAGAAATTTACACGTAATTGCACTATTAGTCAAGGCCCAAGGGGGGCATACATAAGCATATATACTCATGTGACCCAAATTCTCGTTCTTATTCTAGCAAAAATCTCAAATTATTAAAACTTATTATTTCGGTACCAACTAATCTAATTGATATCCTATCCTCGTCAACTTTTATCCTCTTCCACTAGTAACCGTTCAAGTAAAGACATTCAAAAGGAGATTGGTCCATCCTCATTAGATAATAAAGTTGGTAAGGGTCAAACAGTAAAATTCCAAATTATAGTTCTTTACATATTTTGGGGACCATGCATCATGTTAGTGATTTGGACATCCAAAGCTCCCTGACGAAGATAGATCGTTGATACAATGATACAAATTTTGTTTCTATTGTCCAAATAAACAGTTCTGCAAAATGAATAAAAGACGAGAATATATACAACACACTATGTATAATTTTACAGGCCCTTAAAAGCTGCAATTAATGAAATTATGAGAATGATTTTTGCTGGTCCATAAGAATGGTTTAGGACTTTACTGTAAAATGTTTCTGCCTTTATGTATGCCTTTTGCTCCTACAATATGGACAATGATCAGTAATTGGCTAATTGCAGAGTTCTAGCCTTCTAGGACATATGCAATTATATAACTTATATTCCACTACTTTTTTAAGATATTATTTGAATGATGATAGCCAAGATTTAAATGAAATTAATTGATTAATGTTAATAATAATTATTTAAAGATAGTTTAGGCATAACATGAAAAATCAGATTAATTAGAACATACCATATGAAATTGGAACAAAGATTAGATAAAACTAAATTGTACCCAACCAATACTGTATTTAATTTATAAGAGTTCGAGTGTAAGAATAAACTTAAGGAGTGAGGATGTCCGCAAACTTCATGACTTGCATTGTTGCATACTTGCACGTTGCAAGGTTGCCCTAAACTAGGTACACAAGGTGCCTTGAGGTTCATGGAATGATACTTCATAATATGGAGCAATTGCCAACAAAAATTGCAATAAATAAAATAAAATAAAATATCAGAATAATATAATATTTACAAAATGAACTAGATGTTACATAAATGGGATTCAAAAAATGCTAGAATGATTTTTTGTCCTTTAATTCTTTTTAATTAAGCAACATAATTATAGAATTTTTAAACAAGGTAAAACCTTTAATTATGCCATTATTTTGGAAAAAACAAATATATTTAAAATCATAATAAATGTATTCGTTGCATGCAATCTGTCTTATGATTTGTGCGTGTCGATCTAAGTCCCAAAATGTTCAAGCCTGTTCATCATGTCGTTCAATTTCATCATCACAAAACCTCTTAGAAACTTGAATTGTACCAAAAGGAAAAAATAAATAAATAATCTCTAATCAACACCATAGTAAGCCGAAAAAAGTTTTTATCACATGATAAGAATGTGTTGTTCCCTCATCACCAACTTAGAATGTACTGTATAACAAATACTCGTAAAGGTAAGTGCTTCATATCTATTGGTGCTCACTCTTGACCTTAATTTCAATTTCACCAACCTCGTTTCAATGTAACATGCTAACAATCTTTAATATATATATATATATTTATTTTTTTTTTGACAATTTTGACTAAGATTGACACATTAAATTTACCAACTTAGTAAGACATATATATTATAAGATTACTACAAGACAAGAATCTAATTTGTAGAAGAATGTAAATGTAATGCATGTCGAAGTCTAGTCAAAATGTAATTACTTTTTGAACCATGCATGCTAAGTCCACACAAACTTTTTTTTTTTCTCAACCCAATTCAACTTCTTCAAACAACCTAATGATGATGCATATGTTATTGCTTCTCTTTTTTCGAGGATTATCGTGGATCATATAGCCCCATCTTTTATGAATTTTAATTTATTTTTAAAAAAAAAAAAATCTATTATAAGTCCTGTTAATTTCAAAACATAATTTTTACATACGTAGATTAAAAGAAAAGAAATAAATATACTATTACATAAATATATAGGATCACCCAATGTTATTAATTAAAATTCAACTTACTTTTGTATAGGTAAATAAAAAAGTTATAATGAACGTTAAAATAAATTTAATCGCCTTTATTATTATATCTAAGACGGATTGATCATCATTTCTCCGATTGTTTTCTCCTATACATCTTTTGGCTCATTCTAGTTGCTTCTATGCAATATTAAGCAATGATGGGGAAGGACTTAAACTCGTGGGGTGGATTGGCTTACGTTCATATTTAGAAGATTCCACATTTCCACACCACCAAACGTTGCATTAGTCTCTTCATCAGACAAATCAAAGAAAATATCCAATAATCAACTGACATTAATTATAGCAACATTAAGGCCAACAACAGCTCTATTTTGCTGGCAAAAAGATTGATACTATTTCACAAAGTAAGTGAAATTGGATTTTCTTCTCAAAAGCCTCAATACAATAGCTAGATTTCAATTAAATTTCTTGAAGACCATGCAAAAGGGTTCAAAAGCACCTTTTTTGCATTTTGATTTTTAAAAGGTAGTTCTTTTGCTACCAAAACTTTCAACATGCAAATCATATCTAAAAACTTGTTTTTATATATCTTATATATCATCACCTTATCAAGAAAATCTTAAATTGCATCCTAACCACATACTTTTGCACAATCTTTATTGCAAAGGCACAAACAATAGTAATAGCCTGACCTATACCCATTGTAACTCA